TGCTGAGGCGGGCGTTTCCGTCCCCGCTCTCCCCGTGAGCTTTATTTAGCGTCACCTCTTCAGGTAAAAGTTGCTGGCGATGAGAGTTTTCTTCGAAGCATGTAAGGTCGCTAGGCCCAACGATGAACCAGCTCCAGAAACAGGATTTAAAATAGCAGATGTTGAGCCCTTTCGCGCTTTCCTACCTCTGAGGAAAGGACTTCCAGGACAGGTAGTGATCCTAAGCTTTTCTCCATACAGATGCCAGCTAGAGCCTTCTGGTAATTTAAAACGAAACAGTTTGCAGTTGTCTAGGGTGTAATAAGCACACCAAGCCCTCTGAGACTTGGCGGCTGTGCGCATAAAATGCCATTTAAGGACTTAGACTGCAGGAGCAATGGGAGAGAAGCTCCAGGCTATGGTCTCTGGTGCTCTTGCATCTGAAAAATTCTGGTTTTGTATTTTTACAGGTCAGTCCATAAAAGCGTATCTGACTTGAATTATAGACTCTTTGTTTAAGCAAAATGAGAGAAATTAATGTCAAATATTAATACATTAAATGAATTGGTTTTCCCTATTTCTCTATAAATTCAAATTTGATGTATAATGTTTATGGTAATTTAATGTATTCCTTTTAATATGACAAAGAAAATCAGTGGCAGCTACTTTCCAATTAAAAAAAAAAAAGTGCTATCCTTTAGTCAAAATTATTTTAACAGTTAATGTTTAAAATGTGTATTCCCAAATGCAGCAGCATCTTTTATAGTCAAGAATACATTAAATATAGGGAGAACGCATTAATGGATTTGTTAGCATTGAATCCATTTATCTTAACTTTTTAGATATCACCAATTTCTTCAATTGCCTGAGGCACATGAAGTATCAAAATAAACACAAAGATATACTAATGTAGATCAAGTGCTGCTAATTTCCAGCTCAAAACACTGTAAAGATTTGTATCATATAGAATTACTGAAAATCGAATGTCTAGATCGTGAGCTCTTTGCATTGAAAATAATAGTCACTCTTTATATTAAAAAATCTTTACAAACAAATGAATTAGGATTTGGCTGTAGGCTGAAAATCTGATTCATGACTATTAGTGTAATACATCTTTTCACTTAGATTTTTTTCCTTAACTTTTAATGCCTTTTTTTTTTTTTTGTCTGTGAAGTAATTGCATTTTAAACACTTAGCTAATGTCACCTGAACTTACTAGAGAGCTCAAGCTTTCAAAATTCCCTTAAGTCCCTGTATATTTTATGCAAAATCAGCTGGTAAGTAGAAAAGAAATAACATAGTAGGGTTCTCTGAGAGCAAAGGCAGGGAGAAGGTAGTATTAATTGACATGGCTGGCCCATCTCCGTATACCCAGGTCAACTGGTCTGCATAAGCAGAGCTCTGTCCTGTGGTGTTTTGTCTTTGCCAGAACAGGTAGGTAACAGATATGAAAACAGTGCTGGAAAGGTCTAAAAAACACTATACGAAGATTAAAGCAGGAGATCACTTAGAATCTTTGCAGAGGAGTACAGTGTTATAAAAGCTACCATATTTATGCAACTTTGATTAATCAATATTTTTGAAGAGTGTTTAATTAGAGACTAGACTTGATGACCTAGGTGGTTCTTTCCAGTCCTATGTTCCTAATTAAATGAAAAGCATATGCTGGCAGGCATTGATTATTGTTTTTTCCTCAGGAAATGAATAACCACCCACCTGCTGATAAAATAATAAGTCAGGAGAAAAAGCCAAGCCCATAGCTTGCCTCTATTCTAGAAAACACTTCTGGTTTCTAGTTTAGGTGAAATGGAGATATTACTTGTTTGTTTCTGTATTGAATAGTGCCATTTCAATAGAAAAACTGCAGAAAATTAGCACCTTATTTTATATTTGTCTCGTTTCCTGTGTTACATTACACGTAATATGTGGCGGAGAAAATGGGTAAAATGGATAATTGGCTACTTCCACATTTGAAGGGTTTTACTCCTATGGGAGTAATACTTGTTCTGCAAAAACCCTCTAAGTATTATGTTGGCAGAGCTCTTCATGCAATAAACCCCAGGCAAAACTGGTACCTTTGTAGCTGTGTTAGTGGGAGATCACATCTTAGGGATTTAGCAAACTTCAGCTATTTGTGTTTATACCTTGCTAATCTAATCTAAATTTTATATTATACAGTCATCTTAAACATTAATTTCTAAGCTTTTAGTATATTACTAAACAATTAAGATTGTCATCTGATCCACAGTGTTCTTTTCAATCCCTGCTTCTTGCAGGAAACAAGATGTGCAAGAAAGCTTGTGATCTCTGGCTGTTTGAAAGTCAGTTTGTCTGTCAGCCCCCTTCTAATAATTTTTGATCCTGTTAGACAATTTCAATCAAATTTCAATCAGGCTTTTTATATGGTACTAATTATTTCCTTAAATTCCTCTGTTAAACACTAAATAGATTAAGCAGTATTAAATGTTACAAATGAAATTTTGTGTGCACATGTTTTGGCAGGAGAATATGCAGCTTTATGTGGCAATCAAGTCTTAAAAGTTGGGCTAATTTAGTGTTGCAATTAATGTATCTAGTAATCATGTTTTCCTTTTCATGCAAGAAACTAGATAAAATTTGGGCTTCCATAAGGTAAAAAAGTGGTAATGAAAACAAGCCTCTTCGATACATTTCTATTTACAGGGACATATTTCTGGTCTCTTTTTTCAAGCAGTGGTGGAATCAAAAAATCAGAAAATCACCCTGCTCAGAAGTCTTTAATAGAGATTACACTACCTTTTTTTTTTCATCTTTTCCTCCATGATTCACCTTCAGAAACACCTATTCCTAAAGCAAAACGCAGTTCCTTCCACCGAGAATGTTCAGATTCCCAAACACATGTTTTGTTTTGGCTAGGGAAACACGCTTAATTTTCAGTTGCAAATACAGTGAAGTGAAGTGAAATCTGTTTGTTTTACAGAAGTTCAAACCACCCTACAACACCCTTGAAACATTATAAATGTGCTATATAATCATATAAAAGAAAACTGGTCATTCAGCATGCCTATATAGATCACTGTGGCAACCATTATAGAAAATCGACAACAACAAAAAAAAAAACAAATAAGGTGTCTTACGACGCTTTGAGCAAAGCCCAGAGGCCACCCAGCTCCTGGGTCTCTCCAAGGTTCTGGGGTACGGCGGCGGCAGCAGCAGTAACACAGAAATGATTCCTGCGGTGGCATCAATCCATACGCCCGTGACTTTATTTCTATATTCAGTCAATTCAAAATGTCTTTGTTTTCGTGCTATAGGTCAAAGGGACTTTGAAACAGGTAAGAGAATTCAGTAATTTTTCAAAGATTCCACGTGTTTGGTGTGCAAGTATAAAGTGCTCCAGAGGAGGGAGCTGTCTCTTAATAGCTGGGCTTGGATGGAGGGAGTGTGTCTTTGAACGGCAAAGCTGTGCAAATACTAATTTAATCTTTTCTACTTTAGAAATGGCTAAGATATTAAGAATGATATAGCATTTTTGCATAATATATAGGGAAGTTTGTTCATAATTTCAGTTTCTATAAAAGCATTAATGACTACTTTGATTAAAAATACTATTTTACTTTTGCAAACCACAGAAAATTAAAACATGGAATTCAGAGTGGTTCTTTATACAAGGTATTTACAATATAAGTTTTGTTATGCAATATACTCTGCACTGTTACTGTCAGCTGAGTCAATCAATGTGTTCCACACTTT